GCGGTGAAAAACCTTGCACCCCCTTCAGCCCCTTGGCCAACCCCTCCGGCCGCCCGTCCGCTACGAAAGAGATTTCACGATACCGTCTCCCCCGCAGAACCTCCTCCCCCCCCCCCCATACCGTCTATAACCGAACGTTTGTGGGGCAACGCGTAGGTATGTGTATATATATCTTCTAATGTAGCAGTATACGGCATAATACAAACTGCCCCTATTGCAGTGTGCGATAAATTCGGCCGAAACTTAGTGTCGTTCTGTATATTGGGTACAATACCTATAATATGGTGTATTACCTAGGTATATATCCCGTACACATATAGGTAATAATGTGTAGTTTACTGTTTCCTGACGTACATTATTGTTATGTGTTTCACAAAAAATTGTAGTTGGTCTAAGACAATCGCAAATCGTTAACTTGTAAAAAAAATTAGCCGACAGCATTTTAATTTTTTCTTCTATAGCAATATTTTAACATATCCGATCATGCATATTTTGGTATGTCTATAGATTAATATTGTATAGTATTATGAACTAACGGTTTTCGTCGTTTTCGAAGTAGTTTTTATAATTTGTATGCGTATTTATGTGCAATTTAATTATTAAATAATGATACATATTATATGAGTAACTATATACCTATATACTACAGAGAAAATCCAATAAAAATAAATAGAATAATATTACCTATATTATTGAGGAGCTTTTTTTGCGTGTATACGAAAAACGTTCATCGTGCGCTGTGGGAAGTATCGGCGGGAGGAAAAAAGTGGCGTAGTTTTAAACGGTCCCGCGAGAAGAAGGGTTGTAAAAATATACATAAATGCGGTGCGCGCGCGCGCGCGTTATTATTATTATTAACGAGAGATTTTTATTTATCTTTTTTTTTCTTCGCACCGTGTAGACCGCGTTTATGACGGTGACAGTATATATTATGTGTGCGATCCAGCATAATACAATAATACACACACACACACACATATATATAACTTATATTTATAGTCGTGTATATATATTGCATATGTGCGTATAATACTGCAGCGTGCTGTACGCGGTGAAAATCGTACAAAGACACTAACACATAGACCAAACGGCACCCCCCTCGCGTGTATACCGAAAACACACACCTCCGGACCGATTTTTGTCACGCCGGCTGTTATACATGTATGCTAGTGCCTTGCGCATCGAGCGCGTTATGCGTACGTGTATTTATTATTATATATTATACGTACAATATATCGCTTGTGTATGTATAATATATAAATTTTAAAAAAGCCCTTTTTTTTCCACGACGGACGATCGGCGCAGAAAAGGATGGCGGGTGAGGTATATCGCGTGTATATATATATATATAGGGAGACGAAAAAAAAGTGTATATACGTATACACGGTCGAACCCCTTGTGTCGCGCGATGTACCGTCCCCCAAACCCGACCCGCCGATCCGCGCGGTCCAATGAACAATTTGAACCCCCTAAAAGTCGGCCCCTGCTCGCGCGCACACACACACACACACACACAAGCGTAACGAGCAGCGACGTACTTTAGTGTGCGTGTCTGTGAGCGCGAGTATATATATGTAGACTGTAGAGCGAGAGAGAGGGGAGAAAGGGAAGGGATGCTGTAATAATCATCTCTCCGATTTAGGGATGGACCGCGACTGCAACGGTTGTGTATATACGTGTACCTATATATATATATATTATACAGAGAGAGAGAGGTCTCTGAGGCCGCGGGAGGTGCAGTATATATGTATATTGTATATTATAGGCAGTCTTTCACATCATAAACTCGGACCTCTGAAATAATTGTTTTAGTTAATATACGAGTCACCACGCAAACAATATATGATATACATACACACATACATATACGACATACAGTAATATACGACGCGCGTGTTTGTGTCGACTTTGCCAAAATAATAATGCGGTGTGAATAATATATGCGCACCTCCTATAAACTATCATAAAATAATATATAACATAATAGTACACCGTCGAACAGCGGATTCCCCGCGACCTCTGTGACGTATAGTTTTTCCGTTTTCAGCTATGTGTTAGCCCTGTGTCGCAACACTGCGACTGCACGCAGGACACCGATACTACGACCTGATGAAAAGTTTTTTAACGACGTTTCGGTGTCGTATAAGTGAATCGTCTCGCACACGATTTCGTCAAAAACAAATTAATTTTACGGTAAACCGCACATTTATAACACGTATGTACACCAAAACTACGGACACGCGTTATAGTGCATATACGTATATTCGGTATATTATTTAAAATCTTTAAACACCTCCACCGTAGTCGAATTATTTTTCTAAAAAATTCACACCTACTTATATGTTTCAACTAATTTTTAAATCAATTAAATTATTGTTATTTCTACTGTACAGCCTGCGCCCATATAAATATATAACGCCCCGTGCACGGAAAGAGAGCGAACCAACTCGACTATATTTTAATAATAAGCATCCGTGATTATTCATACATATATAATAATACGAGTACCCACCTATTATTTTAATAAATTGTTCAAAGAAATTTCCAGCCGATGAGTTTTATAACTTTCTGTTTACGCTTTAAATCGCGGTTCGCGTGTACGTACATTGGTTAAAGGTTTAATTAATCCAAAACCTGAGTTTCGGATATACAGGGTGTCGCTGTTGTATTTACCTGCCTGGGTGTTTTTCTTTATGACATAATTTGTAATGGAAAATTGCCATATAATGCGGTACGATGGAGAAAAACACTATGCCTACCCAACTATACATTATATACCAGTTACCGCCCACTAGTAATTAGTGGACAATATGACGTAATCGCTTTATTTATCTGAGGATGTTCTCCCACGTGATCCATCGTGAGCCATCGTATTCTGAGACATAACTATTTTATCATTATTACCGGTGATAAGAGTTAAAAACCAATCGTATTTAAAACAATAATTTAACAGCTCAATTAAGTGAATTCGCTTGCTGCGTACGGCACAAGTGACGAATTGAAAATCGAACGAGAGGCAGCAACTATTATTTTACTTGTGGGCAAAATAATATTATACGGCGTCTCTTACAATGGGACCAATTACAACTTACAAGACGTTTGTGAATGGGAAAATCAATTCGTGTCACATTTAGATTACGTCTGCAGCGACGACATACCCACGTATATAATTACTATGAATTCGTTTGCGTTAGTGTACCTATCGGTATGTACGGTAAATTCATAGTATTTACTATCGAGAAATTTCAGGCCGTCACATATTATACTGTGCATATTTATGTGCAGACTTTTAAAAAAAAATTTAATCATATACAGGACCTTACTGAGGGTGAAGGGGTCTTTATCAAAAAATATAGACAATATCTCCCTAGAGATTGCAGGATTAAGGATGCCACGGAAAAAAACACAGTAGATTATTTTATTATAACAATTAGTAACAGATATATTATTATACCCATTATAATTATTATATTTGTAGTTATTATGTAGTAACAGTAGTTTTCTTAATTTTCCAAATTGTGGATGTTCAATTAATAAAATAATTTAAAAAACGTTTAAGACTTTAACTGTAATAATTTTAAGACAATATTTCAATTATAAATCTTAAAATATAATAGCATACTTTATTATAGTTTATATAAGAAGTTCTTATACAGTCTTCTTAAAGTTTATAACAATATAGCTAAACAAAATGACTATTTAAAATTTGCTTTTGTGTACAAAATACATTTTAAGTGTTTCTATATTATGTATCTGACTACTAAATGGTTTATCATTAAATTCTGAAGGTAAAATATTATGCATTAAGTAGGGATAATATATTACGTGAATACCACGTATTGTTTATAAGTAGTAATTGTTTCTCAAGATATTCATATTGACGAAGGTGATGCCACGCATAAATAATCACTTAAATTAATTCAATAGATTAATTAACTATAAGTATTAAGTACATTTATCAATATTAATGGCTTTCTTATACTGAACACTAACAAGTATTTGAGTTGACTGTTTAGTACCTACATGTTGAATATTCAAATAGGTACGATTGTTGATTGGCCAACATTTTAAAAATGTAACGACTCCATCGAACATTTTTATTTCATTGAATATAATTTATGAAAAATAGTTTTACCTAGGTACTTCCGTATTTCTTTAACTATTAAGTAATGGGTATTCGGATATTCCTATAGGTACAAACATGTATACATAGTTTCAATGTAAAAATGTATAATTATTATACGTCATGAAAGCATATTTTCATACATTGTCAATGCTAAAATGAAAACGATAATAACATTCTGACGCCACGAAGCATACTACATTAGGTATACAACGTATTATTAGTTACACCTAGTACCTATATATGTATATAATATGTAATATTCGTTGAAAACTCAAAACCCTGGTATAGACAAAATTTACAGGACGTATAAATGTACAATACTTGAGTATGATTATTTACATGGAATATAATATAGTCTTTACGTAGAGATTACGATTATAATATATACGTAGCGTTGGCGTCTATCAATATGTAATCGACATTATTGGTGTCAAGCACGTAACCGCTTCGTTTTTCACGGCAACCGAGCACGGCGATTTTCTCTTATTTTACCCTACCGAATTCGTACCATACTGTAAGTGTGTACCCAATTATATACTTTCTTTGGCTAAAATGAAAGTACAATGCCGATAAACTTATATTATGTACAGGGACTAGCATCCCATGAAATAATTGAACTGAGTATATAATTACAATGTACGGACATTTTAGTATTTTAGTAACTACTATATACTATTATAATTTATAAGTGACTAAAATCAATGTATATCTAAGTGTGTCAATTGTCAATCTGTAGATATAATATAGTATGTAAAAATCCACAGCAGCATTTTTTCTAAAGGGCATAATTATTGTTAATGCAAAACTTAATCAAATTTCTCACGCTAATGATGTATTTTAGTATCTAATAACAAATCGGGTCCGAAATTATTAGTTTTAGACTTGGACGGAGGAATGGGATCTGATGAAACGTGCACGTCCATCGGAGATAACTCCAACCACGACGGTTCTTTGATCGGTGGAGCCAACGGATCGGCCAACGACGACGACCAAGCGCGACTCAGGCTGAAGAGAAAACTGCAAAGAAACCGTACATCGTTCACCAACGACCAGATAGATAGTTTGGAAAAAGGTAAATATCTTTGCATAATATTATGTTCGGTATACTAGCAGCATACTTGTCTAAATGTATCTACTCATTCCATAAACCCAATAATAACCAATAAAACGTAACGTGTTTGTATTTAGAATTCGAACGGACACATTATCCAGATGTATTCGCTAGAGAAAGACTCGCTGGGAAAATCGGATTGCCGGAAGCAAGAATACAGGTAAACGTCACTTTTGTTTTGTTTACGAACGCATAAAAGGGCTAAAAAAATATTTGTAGAGAGATATAAAAGTTTTCTGGCGAACTCCAGGAATTTCGGTTTTATTTCAACATGAAAGTTTTTCGTAAAAGTTTAAAAGACCCTCCACGAACATCCCTCCTCTCTTATGTCTGTACCTACATATATATTCGTTTGTAAAATACTAGAATCTCTAAATACGAGTGGGTGGTATATATAAATTTATAAACATATAAGTGTGTTATTATTTATTATTAGAAACCATTGTAATAAAAGAAAACACTCGTAGCAACCAAAATAAATCCTATAGAGTAATCCATTGTCGATATCTATACTACACCTATATATTATTTCGAAAATGTAATTAATATTTTTGACATTACTTTTCTCCAAAAAAATTACATTTTTACTTTTTCTATCTTTGTAATTTTTAAGTTTTTACTTTTTTGAAAGACAACGCCATACATTTTTAATTTCATATTCCTCTATGCAGAATATTTATTTAAGTATTTCTATATTTATAAAAATTGAATCTCGAGCGAGTATAGTTAATTATAGTTATTAGTTAGGTTTAGATGTCTTGCTGATACAAGGCGTCTTATAAATGTGAAAAAAATGTATTACCCCTCACGCGTATTTTACCGAATGACTACCTAGTATAATACCTAATATAATACCTAATATAATAATGGTTTCGGTTTGTAATTTGATAGGTATGGTTTTCGAACCGCCGGGCCAAGTGGCGACGAGAAGAAAAACTGCGCACCCAACGGCGTCCAAACTCCAACCAAAACCAATCGATGGACCCGCAAAATCAACAACAGCAGCAACAGCAGCAGCAGCAACAGCAACAGCAACAGCAGCAGCAACAACAACAATCATCTCCGAACAGAATGAATGGTTTTGCAAACAATCCAGATACCAATCCAAATATGTACACAACTATCGGCAACCACGACACGTTTAGGTATGTAAATAAATATTATATATAGGCACCTAAATGATTGTGTTTGAAAACAAAATTTCAAAATTTTGTTTCGCGATTATAATATTGGCTTGTCTTTGTTTCCACATACTTATTGCACTCGCCAGTGGTTTAGTGTATATTCTTTTTTTTAATCCTACAGATGACATAAATTTAAGTATAAAATAAATAAATAAGAATTGATTATACGAGTTAAAACTAACTTTAACGATTTTGAATTTTGAAATCCTGCTGGTGTGTGAGCATCTTACGCACAATAACTTTAAAATTAAAATGTTTTATTTTGTCTCAGCTCGAACTTTCAGTAATCTAAAAAATAACTTTTAATAGATATCTCGTTGTTTAAAGTTTAAACTACCCCGTTATAGTTTTTCAATTATTATTTGTTTTTATAACTGTTTAACTTTATATAAAAACTAACATTCTCTTTGTTTTTGAAGAAAAATTGTAATGAAAAATTAAATGAAATATTATAAGATATGGTCTCCAAATTGTAGAGCCGTATGGATTATAACTATGTATTTTATATTTATCTACAGCAGTCTGCAGCTAGAAAATATAAATGTATGATTATCGTCGACGTGTTCCGTAGTATCTTTTTGATATTAGAATAATCTGTTTTTATTTATTCTTTCAAGTTTTAATTAAAATAGTTTTTCCGATTAAAAATGAATATTGAAAATAAATTGGAAAAGCATTGCCTGGTCAAAAAAAAAATGAAAGGTTTTAATAACCGGAAAATGACTATCTCTGAAGACTATACTCTATCGAATTATTTTCCCTGCACACGTATTACGCACTCATTATAACTATTTAAAAAAGTACTATTTTACATAGTATACCTTCATATTATTGTTGGTTATATATAATCCTACAAGTTACAACCCACACACTACACATGATACATTTTTTTAAATTAAACTAATGGTTGATACAAATTATAGTAATTATTTAAAAATATGGCATACTTAGATTCATCAAAGAATACTTTGAGTAGGTATTTATTCAAAATCGGATAATGAGATTTTCTGCAAAATATTATTGTCTTTCGGTCAGTGGCGTCGTTTCAATATTTGCTAGGGTAGTATATTTCGTTCGATGGACCACAAAAGCGCAAGTATCATTTACCTACTCTGAAAAACAAAATAATCAAATGTTTATAATATTCATAATATTAATTGTAACAGCGTCCCAATAAAATATTTAAAACAGTTTCGGTCTCGCAATACCCAACTCACTCTACATCCATTCACGTCGTTGATAATATAATAATTGTACTAATATTACAATAAATTATTATATTTTATGTATTTTACTCAATTTTGACCCACTCGCGTTCCATGTTACGTTTAGTCCGATGTCGATGAATTTCGGGATGCCTGGTGGCAACAACGAGAACGGTCTGTCGCTGCCAATCATGGGCGGCCACCACGCCATGGCCGGCGGCGGCGGCGGCGACCAGCGGGACGCGTACGGCTGCATGTCCAGGCCGACGTACGACACGTCGCCACCGCTGGCCATCGGCGCGCCCGGTTACCTGAGGCCGCCCGTGTCGCCCACGTCCAACAACAGCAGTCCGCCGACACACCACGCGGCCGCGGCCGCAGCAGCCGCCGCCGCCGCTTACCATCACCATCCGCCACCCATCAACGGACACCATCCGCACCACCACGCGCACCACCAATACAACATGAACGGCTCAAATTCCACTGGTACGTACACATTTTAAGTCAAGCACCGTAACTCATAATGTTAGTAAATGTTTCGGGGGGTTCGAAACAATTGTAAACATTTAATTTTAGGAACGGGTCGAGCTCGAATTCGAAGTTGGTTTTTTTTTCTCGGGCTGTCCGAGATCGAACTCAAATCCATTTTTAACTACGACTTTTTTTCAGACATTTTGTTATTTCGAACTTTAAATAAGATGTATTATTCCATTTTATAATTTTAATTTTTAAACAAAACTATACCCTGTCTTAACTGATAAGTACTATACGAGAAATACGGGAAATATAAGCAGTATACGCGTATATTCTAGAGTATGGCATACGGCTATTTACAATTGGATAATTATTAATAGTATCGATTCGAACTTGATTTTCCTAGGACACTCGGAGTGTTCAAAATTTTCGAGTTCGAATTATAGGTAGGTATTCAACTTCTTATTTAATGAAAGTGTCCTACAAACGACGGTCCCATTAAATAATATATTACATAATACATAGGTATACCCATATAGTATAAAAAAGTATTATTAAAATATATAATTCATGTAAAAACAAATGTTGATGTATTGATGTACCTAAGCATAGCGCCCAATAATAAATACGTGACTCGGGCATTGCAAATGTACATACACTTAAATTCAATACGAAAAAAAAATACTTAATCACCTCTATGCGCTGTGGAGTCTTAACTCTGCATTATATACGATGGTACAGATTGGAATTCGAGGGTGATTTACACTGGGATGCCAGTGTATTGGGGGCTATATTAAGTACCAATATAATATACGCTGCATAGTGTACAGTTCAGCAATGTTGTGCACCAACGGTGTAATAAAAAACTTAAAATTTCAAACCAGCATGCAATGCTAGGTACAGTGGATTCCGCTTAATGTGGGCACGTTGGGACCAGCCCTGTTTGCCCACATTAAGCGGTTGCCCATAAAAACCGAATTAACATTGTTAATATACATTTGTATTGGGACCAGCTCTGTTTGCCCACAATAAGCGGATGCCCATATTAACCGGTGCCCACAATAAGCGGATTCCACTGTATATACTTATTTCAATATGCCAGCGCCTGACACCATCAGGGATGATCGATATGTAATATACTAGATATTGTATTCATGTATTATACATTTATACCTACATACTATTACCACACCCACTACATATATAAATAATATAAAATTGAGAGATCTCTGATATATATATATTATAAAGACGCAACGGGAGCTTCAGAAAAGACATCCCAGCAGAGGAGGCGTCCAAGTAGCAAAAAGTTTATGTTGCAAAATGCGAACTAATCCCCATCGCAGGCTATCAGATAGATATCTATAGATTTTGTATTTTACCACACACATGGGCCGTGCTAGCATTTGTACAAATATATACCTAGTATACTAATTTTACAATATGCGTATTGTATTATAATGACAACATTATATATACATACTACGGTCATATTAATATATATTGTATACAAGATTGTTTTCTGGGTTCTGTTACCTGCATAATACCCACGCACCCACCACAGCTACCCATCACCCGCACAGTGCAATATTATGTTTCGGACACCGCAACAGGTGTCTAATACATCGGCGCCACTGGTCCATTCCCGAGGACGGGCGTAACGGGGTCCATTGCCCAATGGGGACGTGCCCACCTCCGTTTTATAGATGAAAGTTGATAATATACGTTATGCCGGTGGGCCCACAACATAAACTCAACTTATTTCCCCAACACAGACGCGACAATTTAAATTGTTGTAAAAACGAAAACTAAACAAAAACCAGGCTCTGTGTGAACCCGGCACACTCAATTATCCCCTCTGTCACCATCTAGGCGAAAAAATTCATCAATCGATAAAATAAAATAATATGAAACCAGAGCATTATCGCTATACCACGGTATAGTCGTACTGAAACAAATCAACTCGTGTAGCCGTGTAGGTAATATATGTATAATTGTAAATTGATGCACAATAAGTATGTATGATATAAAATTTGTTTTTCTCGGGAGAGCAGCTTCAACAACCTAAGCTTACAAAAATATTTAGTATTAATGTTAACTATTACAAATAAATATTTACCTTGGTTTTCTAGATTAATATAATATAATATTTTATTATAGAAACTTTTATCGAACAATAATGCATCATAATATTATTATAATCATCAGTTTTATCAAGTCAATAAAAATCCCAATAATCATATTATTGTGAATAGAATATTTCGTGTATTAAATAGTACCTAACTATCTGTATTCTACTGTTGAATGCATTGTAACATAATTCTACGATCCGTCATTTAAGTTCAAATAATATAAATAATTAATAATATTTGTCGGTTCTGCAGGTCTCATATCGCCCGGAGTTTCGGTGCCAATCGCCGTACCTGGACACACGGCCGACCTGTCCTCGCAGTACTGGCCACGCTTGCAGTGACATCAGCTTGTCAAGATATAACAACAACGACAATAATTCGATAATCAGACACGCGTACACGAGTAATATATCATCAATGATTGTATTAATAATAATGGTGTCAACGTTTATTTCGATATTTCGGACGTGTATATGAGTAACCTTTCGACGACGACACCGTGCAATTCTCGACGAACCGATAAAATTATTGTATAAGTTATGTATTGTAATATATTATTACTTAGTAATTACTGAGTAATATTATAATTTATATAACACATTAGACGTACCTACCGACACGAACAATGTTAGACGAATAGGAGGTACCTTTAAATATTTATAATATGTAATTGTAATTATTAACACTTATTAACATAATATTATTATCATTATTATTAATTATTATTATTATTATTATTATTATTATTATTATTATTATTATAACTATAACTATCATAGCTAAACGAACATTTAAGTACAGAATATTATTATATTATTATATAGTTATTATAATCGCCGCAAATTTGATTAAACAATAAACGTCGAATTAATATTATATATATTATTGTATACACAAATAATATATTATTATATCATGTAAATGTGTATTTGCAAAAGAATAAAATGTAAATTATATTGTATTGTTTTACGTGTAACTGTATTATTAAATATATACCAAAATAACATTACTATGGGCTATAGTTACGTATATAAATCCTTGTAAAAATGATGTTCCGATTCTATAATAATTGTGTAATATAATAAATGCTTAATTAATACGAATGACAAAAGTCATCGTCACAATGGCTGCGTCTTGGCGAACGCGGAACGGCGACAAGCCAGTGGCGGTCGTCACGAAGGCCCCAGCTCGGAGCCGGCGGTCACCATCGAATGGGTTTTGAACGTGAACACTTGCACTTCGTCCGAGCCACAAGCGGACGAGTCAATGTCGTGACAGCCTTTCATGTGCTCCGTCAGGTTGGACTTGGTGCGGAAACATTTGCCGCACACGGAACACTCGAACGGCTTTTCGCGGGTGTGCACGCGCTCGTGGTTCAACAGTGCCGTGTACGTCCGGAACGGTTTCGAACAGTACGTGCACTGGAACCGCTGGTCGCCGCCGCCCGTGCCGGCGTCGGTCATCATCTTCGAGTTGCTCTTCATTAGCCACAGACTGTTGTTGTGCACGCGCTTGTGCTCGAGCAGATTGCCCTTGGTCCGGAACGCCTTGGCGCACAGCTCGCACGCGAACGGTTTTTCCCTGGTGTGAACCCGCTTATGGTTCTCCAGCGTGGCCACCGACCGGAACTGCTTGCCGCAGTATGGGCACTGCCGGTCCCCGCCGTCCGAACAGTTGTTGCCTATGTGCGCGGACAGTTGCAATTTCGACGTGAACATTTTGTTGCACTGTTCACACGTGAACGTCGAAGCCGATGCCACCGACGTTGCAATAGTCGTCTCGACCGTCAGTGGTTGCTGTTCCGGCTGTTCCCGTTGCTCATCGTGGGCGCGTTCGTGTGCGGACAACTCGTCCAGCGACACGAACACCTTGGAACACTGACCACACGTCAGTATGTCTTCAGAAGTGACCGTCACTCTGGTTATAGACGGGATGTCCCTGCTCGACGTCTTCATCCAACGCAGCTCTGGATTGTGGACTCTACGTGAAATAAATAATAACAAAATATGATATGCGAAAAATAAGAATTTTTTTTTTAAATTAGACGTAATAGATACCTATTTAAAGGTACCAATTTGTACATAGTAGCATAACAAACAGGTGCAGACATTAGTCTGCGTTAGCATCCCTGGTATCGACAGTAGGAGCGTCCCATAAACCATTTGCAGGAGGGAATTACTTTACTACTTTCGGTACAAATTCGGTCAGTGAATACTATTTAGTTTTAAATCGCATTTAGATATTATAAAATATACGTAATATTAGGTACCTATATTATTATATCATGTTTATTTCTTTAGATATGTTTTGCAAGTTATATGAGTATTAAAATATTCATAAATAGTTTTAAAATTAAAATATCTAAAAAGGCTTAAGTATGGTCCTATAAATAATATTAACGGTCAAATAACTAAATATTAAAACTAACAGAGTAAAATGAATTATTATCAACGTTTCACGTAAGGTTTGCTCTGTTGTGCGTTACATAGTCAGATGGATACTACGCGACGCATGCTTACATAAACCCTCCCAGTTCAATCCTGTAATCTTGGGATTTAGTAACCGTTACGATTTAAAAAACAACAGTTTGAACCTAATATTAATACAAAAAATATTATACACATTTATTAAAATGTAACAATTTAACTTATTATTAGTATGTATAATATTGTATATTATGGATTTATCGTGGAAACATAATTGTATTAATATTAATGTCATCATCAACAGTTCAGTTACAGAAAAATGAATCATAAATAGTCTTGCCTTCTACGCTATCTCCCCTTGAACTGAGTTGATGACGCCCAAGGCTGTACTCGAAACATTTATATATATATATAATTTTTTTGATGAGGGGGGGGGATTAAATATCTCACTTTAAAATAGTAAGTAATTAATATTGACAACGCCCAAATAACGTTAATAATTTGATAAGTTGAATCTTAAATTGTGCTGAATTTCCAATCGAATATATTGTTAAAAATACGTTGTATAATAAAAAATAAATATGCATAAAGCAAAAGAATAAAAAGCGTCTTGATGGGGGGATGCCTTTCCGGGTAGGACATCGCTGCTGGTATCATGTATGAGTATTCGTTCAGTATTTTTAGTTTAATTAAAATTCAAATAATGTTATTTTATTATTTTTAATTAATTAATTGGTAATACAAATATAAAATAATACAGGATTACATTTAATAATATTAAAATCAGTCAAACAAAATATCAGTAAAAAAAAGTGTATGAATATTGAATACAATACCTATTACCTACAGCAATGTGTCGCAATTATTCTGAATATTTAAATATTTAAAATATAAACAAAAACTGTTTCGTGCGAAATAAAACCACTCACTCAAGCTGTAGTCCAAGATAAGCAACCAAATTTTCATACTATTAAAAGGAGATCATTTACTGTGCAAAATCGCTTTTATTTTTTCGATACCACAATTTCAAGAAAAGTTCGTATTATTTAAAAATTCATTATTTCAAACTTTAATAACTTTTCTTGTATTTATGATATCGAAAAAATAAGAACGATTTTGCACAATAAATGTTCTCCTCTTAATAGTAGGCAAATTTGGTTGCTTAGCTAGGACTACAACAGCTTGAGTGGTTCTATTTGGCGCAAAACAGTTGTTTTTACGTTATACGCTTGTAAAGGCCACGTCCAGACGGAGCCGCTTTTGCCGCGCGGCATAATTTCCGATCGGCCTAGTAGGCGGTCTACATCAAAGGAAAGCCGCTCGTCTATGCCGCATGTCTTGTGCCGCGTGTGTGTGGACGTATTTTCGGAAAAGCCACGCGGCATCAGTACTTATTTTTATCGGGAAATAAATGCCGCGTCGTGCGGGGACGCGTATTTGCCGCGCGGCAAACGCTGCTCCGTCTGGACACGCCTTAAGACGGAGACAACACATGCGGGTGTGGCGTCCTCTTATGTTATGAGTTTATGACTATAAGTTTACAATAATGTTAATTTAGTAAACTATCATAATACCTAACACTGTTAGTATTCTACATATTTACACTTAATATTTAATACATAATATAATTGTATAAGTACCTACACTTCAAAAAACAATTTCCAAGAGTAGTAAACATTCAACAGCCTAACCCCTAAGCAAGTTTATGTATATAAATAATATAAAATAATAATACAACTAACCGGTAGTGTTCATTCAAATTGGATTTAGTCTTGAAAAATTTTTCACATACACTGCACCCATAAGGACGCTCTCCTGTGTGAGAACGCATGTGGTTTGCAAGTGTATATGCAGACAACAATTCTTTACCACAAATTCCACATTGATGTTCACTCGAGTTGGTTTCTAATGTGTCATCTTCTTTAACAGACATTTGCATTACCTCTTCTGTTTGAACAATACAATGTGATAACTCAATTTCATTTTCAACTAATTGCTTATCATTGACAGGTTCTGGATCATCTATTAACTGCTCTTCATATTGATTTGGATCCACTAACAATAAATCTTTATTATTTATTTCTTCCGAATCAATTATTATTGAACCCTAAAATTTATATACAATTTATTTAATTAATATTTAAGTAATCAAAAACATTATTTTGATAAAATGAAAACTATATTTCTTAAAGTAGCTAATATAGATCAACCAAACATCAGATTTTATTGATAAATTACAGAATAAATAGTTCATACAAAATGTTTAAGCCAACATTATCAATACAATGAAATTTTAACAGTATAAACATTCAGCTACAATAAAATACAAGTATAAAATAGAGATGAAAAGTAACATGATCAAACATTAAGAAGACGCTACACCCGCATGTGTTGTCTCCGTCTTACAATTGTACATAATAGCAAAAACTGTTTTGATGAGCAACTTACTATACTCCTTCTATATTCATAGTTTAAATTACCAAAATTCCACAACACATAGACAAGAACTATACATTGTATCCTAAGGATTTTATTTTTTTGATTGACTAAAGAGTAATTTTTAATAATTAAATGAAAAACAAAAAAAATACTCTACAACACAGATAAAGTTCTTCACTGTGCATTGTGAAATCTTGGTAATTTTTCTATAAATACAGAGAGAGTATAGTTGTCTAGCTCAAAACAGTTTTTACTATGTTGTACATTTGTGAGACTGAGAAAACACTGGATGCTACACCCTCTTAAGTAATCTTAACCAGAATTATAACAGTAGACAAATCCAGAATCACAATAAAATACAAATAATACAAACAGAGATGAAAAGTAATACTTGGTAACATACAAATTATATTATAGGAACATTCTTAATTAGAGAGAATTATAGTAATTAATAAATTATAAAACTAATTTATTTTGTATTTTTATGTCTTGAGTGAATAGCTTGATGTCGACGTGCTTTCTGTTTCGACATGAATTTCTTTCCACAAAAATTACAGGCAAATGGTCTTTCTCCAGTATGGGCACGTTCATGAATTGTTTTATGAGCACTTTCAAAAAATCTTTTACCACAAAACGAACACAAAAAGTTCCTAACATTATCATGATATCTCATATGTCTGTTATATTCAGCTCTGGTATAAAATGTCATTGTGCATTTTTCACATTGCACATCTTTGGCCGCATTATGGGTCATTTCATGTCTATCACGACCATATGGAGTAACAAAAGCTCTTCCACAATATGAACATACATAATTAAAGGTGCCTTCATGTTTGTTTTCATGACGTACAAGTGTCAAGTATGATTTGAAACATTTTTCACAATGACGACATTTTATTTTCTCACCGGGTGCATGGGTCTTCATATGTATCCAAACTTGTTGAATAGTTGCAAATACTTCCTCACAAAAATGACACTGATAGGACAAAGAACCTATTTCTAATTTTTTTTCATAATTTCTTAAATGCGATAACATACCAGCCAGTGTTTTGAAAACTTTTTGACATTTTTCACATAAGAAACCACCCTCAATTTCTGTATAAGAATTTTTTACTTCTAAACTGTCAATATTATTCAAATTTTTGCACTTTTTGCATAGGTTGATTTCATCTTTTAATAATGAATTATCAAATTTACTATAGTTATCTATAACTACATTACACAAGTTGCATTTAATATGATCAGAAGAATGTATTTTAGTATGTAAAGTGAGTTGTTTAGTTGTTTCAAAGCATTCTCCACAATCTTCACACAAACAAAATTTATCATCAGTATTTTCTATACATAATTGGGAAATTATGCTTTCATTCTTTTCCAATGAAGTACCGTCGTTCCAGATGTCCACTACTTCTACAATTTCGATATTATCCTGGAACACACACGCATACCAATATTCATTAAATAATAATTACAGTAAAAAAAATTTTTTTCAAGAACCTGGAACGACGGTATGCAATTCTTAATTATAATTAAGTCTAATTTATCAATATATTTCATAATTGGACATAGAATTAATTGTATACTATTTGATAACTAAATAAAAGATATACCTTATGTTCATTATCCAAAATCGCACCTTCATTTCGTAGCCAATCATCTGTAGCTTTACATCTTACTCGAAATTCAACAAATGAATTAACTTGGTCGATACATATTTTGCATATAGAATTAGGTAAAGAATCCTCGACATTAAACTATTAAATAAAAATATTTTTAATTAAAAAAATACATTCAAGTACGTTACAATATTAACTTACATGAAGATTAGTAACTTCTTGAACATTTTCCAAAAGGGTTCCTTCGAAAAACAAATTTTGTAATTTTTGTTCATTGCGGAGACACAATCGACATAAATCATTCCAATTTTCGATATAAATAACACTCTGATTTTCTTGGTCCATTGTATGCAAATTATAAGTAAAAATATTTTGAACCAAAGCAATAATTATCGAATAAAAACTATCGAGTAATATTGTAGTTAAAAACTACACATTTCTTAATGTCGCTTATCAAATATTAAATACTTAAAAAAAAGATGGGGTAGTTTAAACACTCAAAAATACTTTAATTGAATGACTAAATGACATTACAACCACGATTCATTTAAAAATATTTATTATAAAATAGAAAATTTTATTCATTAAAGTATGTGTCACAAGTCACGACTGTCCAATATAAATCCCGTATACTTAAGACTTAACTTCACAAACCAGTAGATGAGCTTGTACTGCTTGTAGTTGTACAGTATTGTTATAGTCCAATATCGAACAGCTTGTACTCCAACGTGATAACGTGAACCGTGATTTCGGAAAAAAAATGTCCAATGTGATTGGCTGATTCTCGCGGTTAGTAACATTACTGGCATATCACTATTCCTCCATGCTGAAGGGGGGTTCACAACCATAGACCTTATATAAGGTATATACCTTGTATAAGGTCTATGTTCACAACTCACCGATTCGTATCGTATACTGCATATTTAATACATAGGTAACAAAATGTTGGTCACACATCACCTACAAATTGATAATATGACACGGCGTGTTATGAACATCGGTGTTATTTATCTCGGTGGTTGTGAATCCCGGGGTATTACTATACAATCAGATTCTTTAGCTTTTAATAGATTCAAATTCAATAGAGGAGAATCAATATTTGAATCTGTTTGCTTTTGATATGCAAATTAAAGATCTAATTCTAATGTGATAATTTAGTATAATTGTTCTATGCTTTCGGCAAAATGGCTGCAAACATCGCAAGCGCCAAGAAGTGGTTTGTTTAGTTCCATTGGCCAAAACATGGTTAGCGGAATAGCCGATAATTGTTTGATAACGATGGATTATCACTAACTTTAATCACGGTTCTAGTTGTAGCCAAGGCTATAGGCACAGAACAATATAGATTGCATATTTTCTAGCAACTGATTACTAACATTATAATACATTGAATTCTGCTATTTCTGCTCAAGTAAAGTAATGAGGTAACTAGAAAATTGTGATAAATGATCAGCAATGCATAGATGTTGAAGAAGTACTGTTGATTTAGATTGCAAATTTGTAAGTGTTACTACAGTAAATTCAACATTGAAAACTTTATTATAGTACACAGATTTCTATATAGAGTAGTATAGAAATCTGTGATACAGTACTAACACCAACATTATTAAGAACAAAATAAAAACATTTCACTTCAATATTTAGCGTTATGTATTCAATGCGTATATTCCGACAAATATCTTCAGTACAGCTGTCAATTAAACAATGTTCAATACAGTTACCTAAATTCAAATCTACTGATTCCAAAGAGGATCTAAAGGAAAAAATTAAAATGAAAACACCAATTGGTAATGTAAAAATAATAGTTTAAATAAGGTACAAGTAATAACTTTTGCATATTATTATTAAAGGAAAGTTAGATGAACTCAAAGCTGGTAAGCATCCATTTCAAGAAAAGGAGCCTTTGAAAGAATGGCCTGAAGGTCGTAATCCAGCAACAGGAGAGCTAAATGGTCCAAAAGGACCTGAACCAACCAGATATGGCGATTGGGAAAGAAAAGGAAGAGTGACAGATTTTTAAATAAAAAATATACATATATATATATAAATCATTTGTTTATAATTAAATATCTATAGTAGGTAAATTGTAAATTATATTATATTTTAAGATAATAGTAAAAAAAACTAGCGTTTTGCTTCTTGATGAATAATTTATGTTAATGAAAAAAAAACCTTCTAATACTAAGTGAGTTTGACAAAACCACAAAACAGTGTCAGTTTTATAAATTATACCAATAATCAGTAACTTATTCGTCTGTTTTTGAAAGACCCATGGCATCTTTCATCATAAAATTTCTAAGTGCCCACAAAGCGTTTAAAACATTTCCGTGATTACCAATTCCTTTTCCCAACCATTGAATAGCTGGGAGTGAATTTGGATCATCTGGTCCTTTGGTATTTTCTTGTGTAGCAATCAATTGACGTTCCCAATTAGATTTGCTTTCCAGGTTTAAACTCTCAATGTATCTGAAGAAAAAAAAATACTATTAATACACTAGATTAAATAAAAATTCACTGTTGAGCTAAAATAGTTTTATACCAGCAGCTAATAAAAAAAAAAAAAAAATTAAAATTAAAGAGTATTTAATTACTTGATATAAGCTTCAGAGTGAAATACTCTAGTAGGTCTTGGTGGCACAGTTACAAATAGTGGTTCAGGATGTTTGCTTAAAGTAATGCTATTATTACTAGCTGAACCTAAATCAATTGATTTTATCAATTAAAATTTTAATACCATTAATAAAAACACAATATTTAGGATTTATACTGTCAACCATATTACCATAATATATTATAAATCAATATTAATTTTTTAAATAAAAATAATTTATATATATTATTAGAAATATAATTACCATTTTGAGACATGGGCGACGGAGTATTCCTATTTATCTGATTTAAAACGTTGACAGCTCCTCCAACTACACATAAAAAAAATGAATTATTTAATGGTTAAATAAATGGTTTTTGTTCTTTGTGGTTACATACCTTTTTCTTGTTGTGAATTGTTACTATTTCAAAAAGCTTATGTATATTTATATAGTAGGGAAAACTTACCAGGTTGATTTGTAAACTGTTGTGGTGTTGGTTGAGCCATTTGTTCTTTTTTCAAACGTGTTGACAGTACAACATTTCTATAAAGCGGTTTAAATTCAACTTAAAAAAGCAACACACGACATGCTAATATATGTTGATTCTTTTAATGCACAACATTGATCCCAGTCACTTATTTTTCAAAATAATAAAAAGGTACATAGTAAAATAATGTTGTGCTATTAAACAAATTAACATGAAAATATATCAACATAGAATACTACATTATGTACATTAGAACTCTTTTGGTGGTGAAGTGGCCATGCACTCATTTTTGATTGTCAGGGCCAAGCCAAACAATAAATTTTAGTTGAAACAGGCAGGACTTAACTTAAATTAGTTAAGTACATTGATGATTTGAGTGGACAAAGATAAAGAAAACTAAATGAATCCCAAATTTTTCATCATCTTGCAAAAGATTAAATTTTTAATCCAACAAAGTAAAAATTATTTTTAAGGAAGATAACAATATGAAGAATTTTTTATTTTGATTATCAAGAATATGGATAAATATGGAGGAAAATGAATCAGGATTGACATTCAATCATTATTTGTAAGGCTCCATTAGTGAAATTGTATTTAAGATTAGCTTGAGCTTAAAAAAAAAATGTGGGATGTGTAGAGCTCTAATATACATACATCAAATTATAAGATCTCATAACACTAATTTTTCTAACTAACAAATACATAAAAGACTAATACAAACTGCAAAATCAAACGAAAAGTAATATCAACAATTTAAAACGAAAACCTTATGCACTATTTCCTATTTATGTAGTTATTTAATTTTATTTAAAAAAATAAGATACCAGTTATTAAAATTATCAACTATAAAGTTTAAGTTGTAAATGTTTTTGAGTAACTAAACAACAATATTTGAAACAACTATTAAAACCAATTCTAAAAAAAAGAAAAACAAACAACAAAACTTTCTATTACTAAGTAATTATACATTTTTAATAAAAATTGTAATGGCCATGCTTAAATAAATATAAACTATATTTTAAAGGAAACAGACCATTAGAATTTTCAACTGGTGGTGGAGATACAGACGCCACAGATAAAACAGAAGTGGTAGTAATGACTGAGCGAGTGCTCGACATTAAATTTCTGAAATTAAAGTATAGTAGTTGAGAGTAAAAAATAACCTCATACAAATATAGTTGTTAAAACTCTAAACTCAATTAATTAGATTTAAAATTTTTTTTATATATTTTAGAAATTATTTCCCATTTAAATATACTTTTAACATAAATAAACCCATTAATCTATCTCGTATTTTCAAAAATATTATCAGCAATCGCTGGTTCAACTTGCTGAATACCACCTCATACATAAGTAATATCATATAACCATCTTAAGAATATAAAATAAAAATTTTATTTACTTGTTGCGTTCTGATAATGGTACTGGTTTTCCAGGATTTTTCAGTATATGCACTTCTTTTACATGTCTGACTAGACGATGTAAACTTGGAAATGGAGCAATACCAGTCTTTTTAACTCTAAGACATCCTCTCCATTGACATTGAAATTCAATTTCTTGTAAAGTTAATAAATTGAATATTATAGAACAGATAAATATTTAGGTTATAAAATAAATACCACTGGGAGGAATGGCTGAAAAGAATGTCTGCACATGCCCATATTGATCGGCTACAGCATGATCTAAACAATCTGATTGATCTTCAAATTGCCAGTCACAATTGTCCCAACCACACTCCCAAATTAGATCAGAACCTTCTGGGTGAGCTGGTGCTTGATGTGACTGTTGACGCCATTGTGGATAATTCTCTTCATTTAATCTATTTGCACGTTCTTCGTATGCCATTTTTTCTGTCTGTGATAAATTACGCCACTGTAATTTAAAATAATTAAGAATTTAGTTAGTCGTTTTATTGTGATATATTATGTTATATATAATTTACTTCATTGCCGACAATACGACTAACTTCACCAAAACTACGATCTGGATTATTTTGTACAATAGCTTTTCGGACATCACTTGTGTACAATATATAACCAGTGACAAGCTTCTTATGATTGGGGTTCTTTTTTCTAGATGATGATGGGGTAGACATAACTGTTGAAGTATTCAATGTACGTTCACCCAAGTCAGAAGAGCTGACAGACGGTGGACCTCCATCCATTGAATCTTCTGTCATTGTATCAGCAGGTTCTAGTTTTGGCATAGCTGGAGAACTAACGTTCTATAATCGGGATAAAAAATTATATTTCATGAAATGCAAAAATAAATCATTATATTAAACTTACAGATACGGAATCATAATGTTGGTTGTACACAGTTTTAACATCATTTGACTGAGTATTATTTTCAGTAGCTCCAACCTACGATATAATTCAATTTAATAAGACTTAATAATAGTTATATTACGGTTACATTACTTTTACTGGATGAATGAGTCTCCTAAAGAAATAAAACTCATCTTGATTTACGGCTGGAGAATGAGTATACTTTTTTAAGCCATCTTTTGGCAATTCTTTTATTAATTTAGTAGATTCATCATAAATTGATTCACAAAGATAAACATCATCTTCAGCTATTTCTGCTGGACGACCTACAAAATAAATATAATAAACAAAAATATCACAATAAAAATTTGAGAAATAATTTTTTATATATTTACATGATATATATTCAGCATGTTCTAAGACAGAACATTTTCCTGTGATTTTTAATATTAATACAGTTTCCTCGGTAGTTGTCAACAAAACTTCTTGTTTGAAGAACTGCCTACCAGAAAAATTAGGAAGATCTGCGGGAGTTAGTAGTACAGGACCAAAGACATAGGCTCCTCTGAATGATTAAAATCACATCAATAAATTATTTTAATTAATATATGGCGCAGAGCCACTTAGGCCTTTAAGAGGTCTAATTATAACTCTGTATATTATAGAGAATTTACTTACTGCTTATTAACCCAAATTTTGTCTACTTGGACTATCTGATTTTGATCATTTTTTACATAAACAAAATCTCCTGGTTTGAGTATACCTACATGACTATTGTATTGTTCATAATAAACATTTCCATCATCAATAACCCCAGGAGGATTTGGTATTATAACATTCTGTTTAATAAAAATAAAATTAAGTTTATAGTAGCTTATGTGACCAATATACTCAAAGTAAAAATACTAACTGGTTTTTCTTTTTCAATTATTTTTTCATGCTCTTCAAGTTCTGCTATTTCTTCTTTATGTTTTTCCACACGGTCACGAAATACAGACAATACTCGTTTAGGGTCTAAAGGTTCTTCCCTTTCAGCTAATTTCCATGTGGCTGATAAGCTTAAGGCCCAATTCTAAAAGATTCACATTATTTAATTACTAACCATTTGTTACAATAATAGGAGTATTTACCTTGATTTTTTTGAAATTTCTACATCTAGAAGAATATCTAGATTCACAGACATATACATCTTTTTCATCAAATCCTTTAGGTTGATAGCGGAAATAATCTTTAACACTTACAACAGCACAGCGACCTTTAATTCGACTTACTGGTATAGTAATATTTAAATCAGTCTTAAAAACCTCCTGAAAATAAATCACGTATAATAAAAATGATGATTTTTATTAAAAATAAAAACCACAAACCTTTTCTAAAAATTTTCGAGTTGACAAATGATAGGTTTCACTAGGTCTATAGAAATGATTACCATACAACATTTGCTGTGATTCCTGATTAGTCCACAACCGTTGAATATTTAATATCATCAGTTCTTGGCCACGTTCTTGGGGTTCTGCATAAACAAAATCACCAACTCTATAAACTAATTGATTAACACACACGGAATCATCTGCAGTGCCAGCAATAAGTGGTGGTGTACTATCTTCTTGCTCCTTAAATATAAAAATTAAATTAAATTAAAATTGAAAATTCACTCAAAGTTAAATTACAAAAGCATACTTCTAAAGTACTATCCTCTGTTTTAATTTCATCTTCTTCTGGATTACCACTAATAGATTCTTCAGCCATCTTTCTCTCTCTCATATCATTCACTGATAAAGATAAATCCAATAGAGAATAATTTAAAGCAGGAGAATTTAGCAAATCTCCATTACGGCATACTTCATCTCTATAATTTATAATTT